ATAAATATAATGAGTTTAAATAAAACACGTTTTATTTATATTATAAAGTATGTGTGTTTGTTATTTATAATTGTCTTGTTAAGAATAGATTGAGGATTAGGTCATTCTTCGCCATTGACCCCACCCGACCATCCGGTGCACTGGGTCCGTGACCGCTGGCCATGGCAATGATGGTGCATACATTCGAGTTAACCAATTTTAAGTTGTGTATAAACTGACATATAACTGTTAGTGTTTCCCATTGAGTATTAGCCACCAAATGAATGACAAAGATTGTGAGCGGCCGAGTGCTCCCGTCGGTTGAATATATGATTGTTTTGTTTTTGTATATGCGAGCAATGGTTAACGCATTCAATTTGTTGTGTGTTTCATAGTAACACTTGTTTAATGTGATTGGTTATCAATATAGTCACATGTGTAATGAGTAGTAGTGGTACATGTGCTGCCATCCAACGACTACTCATTTTTGTGGCACCCGCCAGGCGGGCGCCCAGTAGGCGGACGCCATTGAAGGCGCTTATAGGAATAAACGTCAAATTTATATTCCCTACAATGAATGCAAGATATTGTCGGCCAATGAGTTCCCGAAGAAGGGATTCAGTGCTAAACAGGAAGAATAAGCGAAAGATAAAGTGTGGGATTAGCTGCTCGAAGAGTTTCAGCGCTTATTTACGATAAGCGTTGATATAACTAATTTGATCACTCATTTGGTTTGATTATCATTGACAGAGACTCGCTGTCCAATTGTGACCACGTTTTATGACATCGATTTACAGTACATATGAACTGAATTTGTTTTAAAAGCTAAGCCACGGCTGACTCTCCATAAGATTGGATCAATTCATTGAATCCATTATATCTATTATATAATTAAATCTTATAAATATAGTTTAATCCTTATTTATTTGACTTTTAATAACTTTAAAAGTTATATATTATCTCATTATTAGACGAATATTTCATAAGGAATAGTGAGAATACGTGGCCGAGAAAGCAATGGCTTGAGCTATATTAATATAGCATGATAACTGTATTTATAAATAGCCTAAAAATAACCTAATTAAAACTGTTTACTGTTATAAAGTTAACTTAAAAGTTTATACGTGTACAACAAAATCTCTGAAATAATGACATTAAATATTCATATCATTTCCTTATTTATGAACAAAAAAGTCAATTCAGATAAAACTTATAAATATTAATGAATTTACGGCTAATATAATGACAATAAAAATTAATAGCTTTTATGAATACGAAAAATCACTTTACAGTTAAAATTCATGCAAAAAGTTATGGAAAAATTATGCATTCATTACAAAGAGTTTATGCAATAATCGGTTCATTGGATTCGCACGTCATTTATGGACACAATAATAATGTATTGAAGAATAATATAAGCGATAGAAAAGTGAAGAAATTTCTGGAAAAGCATTGAATGAATTGTTCGACCGATTGATTGATTGACTGCTTTTGACAGACAGACAGCGATTGCCATCCATTCAGACCATCACAACAGCTGTTCAGCCATTCATTGACACCACACTATACGACACACAGTTGTCCAACACATCAACACATCCGCCGCCACCGACACTATGTCTAGTGATCTTCACACGGATTCCGTGTCCGACAGTCACGGCCTCGAAGGCGGCGATCAGGAGATCGACGAGAACTTTGTGGACGAAGAGGCCCTCAAAGAGAAGGACATTTCGCCACAAAATGACGGCAAACTCATCAAACAGTTGATCAAAGAGGGCAAAGGTTACCACCGATTCATCTCTTTGTCTCCCGTATTGTCTCTCTCTATCTGTACTGACAGCCCATGTATTGTGTGACCCATAGGTTGGGATAACCCGAAGAATGGCGACAAAGTGATGGTCCACTACACGGGACAGCTGTTGGACGGAACAGTGTTTGACTCTTCGCGCGATCGTAACGAACAGTTCTCGTTCACAGTTGGAGCCAAACAAGTGATCGAAGGCTGGGATATAGCCGTGAAGACGATGAAGAGGTCAGAAGTGGCGAAGTTTACGATAGCGCCGGAGTTGGCGTACGGAGAGACCGGCGCCGGACCGAAGATACCGCCCAACTCGACGCTCGTCTTCGAGATCGAACTCTTCGATTGGAAACTCGAGGACATCACCAAAAAGAAGGATTCGGGCGTTTGTAAGCGTATTCTCGTCGACGGTGAGGGCTATGAGACACCAAATCTCGGTACGTATTGATGACATAATGACCGCACCCTTACGTTAACGCGTTTTAACCGTTGTTGTTGTTGTCGACCACCACTTCAGGCGCTACTTGTGATATCCATTTGGTGGGCAAATACGACGGCAAAGTGTTTGAGACCCGAAACGTGACGTTTTCTGTTGGCGAGGCCTCCGAGGAAGGGATTGTCGACGGCGTTGAACTCGCCGTACGGAAGATGAAGAAGGGAGAGAAGTGCGAAGTTGTGGTCAAACCTCAGTACGCCTTCGGACCCAACGGCCGCTCGGAGTTCAACATTCCGGCCAACTATGAAGAAGTGGTGTTTGAGATAACGTTAAACAAGTTTGAAAAGGCAAAGGAAACCTATCAGATGGACAACAATGAACGCGTCGAACAGGCATTGCTCGTCAAGACTAAGGGCACCAAATACTTCAAGGTAATAACAGCTCTCTCTCTCTCTCTCTCTAACGCGGCTTTAATGGCGTTTACGGACAAAACCAATTGATTTTTGGCCGCTTTGTTATTCGGGTCCAATTGGAGCACAGCGTTGAAGT